GGAATTTCCACAATAAAATGAAACACAACAGTACCATGTAGTCCCTAATTCCGCTTCTGGGTAGTTCACCAAAGAAAAAAAGCCAGCACGATAAGATATGTGCACCCCCTGGTTCACCAGACTGTTACTCACTGTACTCAACATAGGGAAGCAATGCAGATGTCCTTCAACAGATGAATGGATAATGAAGATGTTGTATCTACATACAAGGGACTATCCCTCAGTAATACAAAAGGGACGAATTCGTGACGTTTGTGACAACATGGATGGACCTAGAGAGTATTATACCAAGTAAATAAGTCCGACAGAGAGACCAACAAAACACGTTACTTACATGTGGAATATGTGGAATCTAAATGACAAAATGAACAGACAACAGAAAATAGGAACAGACTTAAAACCGTAGACAACAAATTGGTGTTTGTGAGATTGGAATGGGATTGAGAGACAGGTGAAATCATGGAGGGGATTGAGAAGTACAGATTTGCACTTAATTGAATAAGTCATGGAAAAGTAGAGCACAGGGAATATGGTCAATAATTTTGTAGTTTTGTATAGTGACAGCAATTACACTTCTTATGGTGAGCATTTTGTAATGTATGGAATCGTTGAATCCCCATGTTGCACACCTGACACGAATATATAGGTCAGTATGCTTCTACCAAAAAATGAGTGAGTGAATGAATGAATGAATAATAAAAAGTCCCACAATTACCAGTCATCATGACTGTGAAGACGAAAGTTAGGCCCATCTTCCAGATTGCTTGTGCCCTTCAGATCCTTCTGCTGAGCTCTTTTCAGGGTCAGGGCAGCAGCCACACACACACCATCTAATCTCCTAATGGCAGCTGGGGCAGTGCAGGCAGCCTCCACTGAGGGCCTATGTGCCTTCAGAACAGGCCAACCGTCAGGTGGACCAGGTTCTGGAGAAGGGATTGGCGTTTGGACACATCCATTAGAAACGTGACTCAGTCTTTGAGTAGGGTGATGTCTGCCATTCACCTGTCCTCCCTGTTGGACTTTGCATCCACCGTAGCCCACATGGCCAGTCTTTCTGTCTTCCTGTAGAGGTAGGGTGTGGATGTGTGTATCTTGCCCAGTTCCTTCCTAACTGCCTCTTCTAATAAGTCTTATCGCCACATTAGTCTGCATCTTGTTTGAAGTATTTCTGAATGAATGGGCTGCCAGTTCAGACACTTTCTCTATTATTGCCAAAGTCCCATGTCCCAAAGGGCCTCAGAAGTTTTTAGTCCCATGACTGTTCTTTGTGATGAATTTCATTTACATTTCGGGATTAGTATGAATAGAAGCAGACATATGGTCTGTTTTTTAACCTTATGCATCAGGTCATTTCCACGAAATTCAACTAGGCTCCCAATTCTTTTTTTTTTTTTTTAATTTTTTAAATGTTTTTTATTTATTTTTGAGACAGAGAGAGACAGAGCATGAGCAGGGGAGAGACAGAGAGAGAGGGAGACACAGAATCTGAAGCAGGCTCCAGGCTCCGAGCTGTCAGCACAGAGCCCGACATGGGCTCAAACTCATAGACTGTGAGACCATGACCTGAGCTGGTCAGATGCCTAACTGACCGAGCCACCCAGGTGCCCCCTAGGCTCCCAATTCTTATAGTTTCTCCCAGTCAAGGTAAAATGAGTGGATCAGAGACTTAGCAGAATTCTTTGCAGAATAAGCCTCTGAGTGAAGAGAAAATACTAATGTTTACAAAAAATGATTCCTGTTCTGTGTTTGTAGAGAAGCAGAAATTTCACAGCAATGGAGATCTGACCCGAATGCAAGAAGGGCTTTTGAGGTGAGTGACACTTGTAAGGGAGTAAGGTGAGTGACACTTGTAAGGGATGTTGCGATTGTGAGACTGACCTGAAATTAGAGAACAGCTGTAAACCTAGTGCAACAATCTTGTAGTCAAAATTTTCACAAGAAATTTTTATAAATTTATTCTAGGTATTGATCATGTGAAAAAACATTACGTTGGAAAAAATGGTCAGAGAAAACTATATGTATGAATCCCAAAATGTTATGACTCTATTTGAGTTGTCAGCCAGAGATTATGGCATAAGCATGATGGGTTTTAGGCTTTTACCATTTTGTAACCATGCAGACAGTGCCACAAACATCACCATTCATTGACAGTGGCCATTATATAGTGCAATAATGATTAACAAACATCAATAGATAATTAATAAAGAGATAGTTTCTAATCATCATTTCCTAATCATGTACCTTCCTATTTTGAACAGAAGTCCTTTGGTGGAGAGTGTCTGTGAACGTATTGAAGGAGATCAATGTGGAGAAACCCTGAACCCAATTACAAGTCTTACTGTGCATGAGGGGTGTCCTACTGGAGGCAAATCCTGTGAATGCACTAAGTGTAGAGAAGCCTTTGCAGATGGTTCCTTCCTAGAGAAGCCGCGAAGACCTCACCCACGACTCAAACCTAGTCCTGGTGAGGAGTGTGGGCAGGCTTGCAGCTCTGTTACGAGCCTCAACACTCATGTGGACGCAGACGTTGTAGAGAAACCCTGTGAAGGTCAGGTCACTGGGAGAGCATCGGAGACATATGCAAAGAGTCTCCGTAGTAAAAAGTCTATAGAGTGCAAGAAATGTGGAAAAACTTTCACTTGCACAGCTTCCTTTAAACGTCATGTGCAAGGTCACTGTGGACAGAGAGTCCATGTGTGTGACACGTGTGGGAAAACCTTCGTGTATCACTGCTACCTTACACGTCATGTGAGAATTCACACTGGGGTGAGACCCTATGAATGTCAGGAGTGTGGGAGAGCCTTCGGGTATAAGTCAAGCCTGCAAAACCATGTCAGGACCCACGCTCGGGAGAAACCCTATAAATATCAGCCGGGTGGGAAAGCCTTCCCTGGTCAGCATTCCTTTCGAATACCTGAGAGAAAACACACAGGGTATGCACCCTTTGAATGTAAGGAGTGTGGCAAAACTTTCAAGAAACGTCTACATTTTGAATGTCACATGACCACACACAATGTAGTGAAACCCTATGAATGTCTGGAGTGTGGCAGAGCCTTTAGGCATCACTCAGACCTGCGAGTTCATATGAGGACACACACTGGGGAAAGACCCTATGAATGTAAGGGATGTGGGAAATCCTTCCGGAAGTATCATCATATTAAACGTCACATGGTTATTCACAGTATAGTGAAACCCTATGAATGTAAGGAATGTGACAGGGGCTTTGGGGATCAAACACACCTGAGAATACATATGAGGACACACACTGGGGAAAGACCGTATGAATGTAAGCAGTGTGGGAAAGCCTTCAGATATCAGTGGAATCTGCGAGGACATGTGACAACACACACCAGGGAGAGACCCTATGAATGTCCGGAGTGTGGGAAAGCCTTCAGGTATAAGTCATGCCTACAAGAACATGTGACAACACACACGGGGGAGAAACCCTATGAATGTCAGGAGTGTGGGAAAGCCTTCAGGTATAAGTCGTGCCTGCGAGAACATATGAGGAGACACACTGGGGAGAGACCCAATAAATGTCAGCACTGTGGGAAAGCCTTCCTTCGTCACTACACCCTCGTACTACATATTATGAGAAGACACTCAGGGGATGGACACTTGGAATGTAAGGAGTGTGGGGAAACTTTCAGGAAGCATCGACCTTTTGAACGTCACATGACCACACACAATGTAGTGAAACCCTATGAATGCGAGGAGTGTGGCAAAACCTTCAGGTATCACAGAGACCTAAGGATACATGTGCGGACCCACACTGAGGAAAAACCCTTTAAATGTCAGCACTGTGGGAAAGCCTTCCCATCTCCTTCAAACCTGGGAGTACATATGAGGACACACTCTGGAGGGAGATCTTACGAATGTCAGCGGTGTGGGAATGCCTTTACCTCTCCTGCTAGCCTGCGAGCCCATATGAGGACACACGCTGGGGAGAGACCTTTCGAGTGTATTGAGTGTGGGAAAGCTTTCAATCAGCTGCAGATTTTTCAAAGTCATTTGAAAACACACAGCACCATTAAATCCTATGAATGTAAGAAGTGTGGGAAGGTGTACAAGTTCTCCTCCTCTCTTCGAGCGCATATGAAGAAACACCCTGGGGAGAGACCTTGACAGATCACTGCTTCCTTCAAGAACATGTGAGGCTGCACAGTGGACAGTAAGCCTCTGTATGCAAGGACTCTGCTAAGACCTTCCAGTGTCCCAAAGTCCTGGGCAGAACCTTATGAATGACTGCTGTGTGGGAAAGCCTTCAGTCGTCCCTCTTCCCTTTGAGGACCCATGTGAACTTAAGCACCATGGAAAAGCCTTCAGGTATCCCAGGAATCTGTGAGCACAGACACACTGTGGCATAGCATTTATTCTCCCTTAAATTCTTACTGAAAATGTGAGCCAGTACAATGGAGATGATCCTGAATGGACACAATTTTGGGAAAACTTCAGGTATAGAACTTCATGTATTTTGTTCATGAAAATTCAGGCGTGAGAGAATCTTTTCATTGTTGTGAATATGCTTTTGAGTTTCCAGGTGCCTCTTCCTTGATAGGAATCCCAAGTGTATGAATTCCTAGTTCGTGTCACTGATGTTAACACTGATGGTTTTAAGTGGCCTTCTTTGTCCTCTACATCTGTGTGACCTAGATGTTGTTACCTCAGACTTGAAGTAATCACACGGTTATGTACATGTCTCTTTCCCATTACAATGTCTTTTGGACCCATAGATGATAAAAATGTGTATGTTGCTGGTGTGTACATATAACTTTATATACTTTTACAAAGAAAATTTATTGAGTTATACATTCCAAAATGTTCTTGTTACATTATCATGATATGAGACTTGTATTTTTGAAAGTTCTTTTCTGTCCTCTGTTGTGAAACTGGAATATTCTCATTTTGTGTCTACTCTACTTTTCTGTCCTTATTATTGGGTGATATATTTTCATATCAATTCTGTCTTTTTATTCAGTTTTTTGAAAAATTTAAGAAATGTTTATTTTTGAGAGCAAGAGAGTACACACATGGGGGGGGGG